CCACCAATTGTTGCCAGACTTACACCTGCCAACCGACTGTTGCCTGATTTCCTCCTGACCACTATCGATGACTATGGTCTTTCTGACCTACATCACCCGCCAACCACAATCATTCCGGCCACCGTCACCCAACTACGATCTTTCCGACCTCTGTTGCACGATGACTACGGTCTCTTCAATCACTGTCGCCCAATTACGGTCCTTCCAACCACCTTCATCGAATTAAAGTCTTTCCGACCTCCGTCACCCGACTATGATTTTTCTAACCATCGTCGATCGTCGACTACGGTCCTTCTAACCTCTGTTGCCAGGTAATGATCTTTCTGACCTCCATCGCCTATCCACATGCTAACTACGGACCTTTTGACTTCCATTGTCTAGCAACAGCATTTCTAACCATCATCACTCATCGACTATGGTCATTCTGATCTTTGTCTCCTAACTATGATCCTTTCACCCTCCGTCACCCGACTACGATCTTTCTGAACTCCGTAACTCGCCAATTACTATCTTTTAAACCTCTCTTGTCTGACTATGATCCTTACGACCATCGTCACTCGACTACGGTACTTCCGACCTACATTACTCACCAACTATGGTCATGCCAACCAAATAAATATATCAACACTGATTCTTTCAACTCCCACTATGTAATGCACTACATATAATATATATTTGCTACATCGATCCAAGGCCTTTCCCCAAGGAAAGGCCTCATTTGTAACCAAACGCAAATACTAGTGAATTCATTTAAACTGGGCAAGGCATGTGGTTTTTCTCCATTTTCAAGGATTTTCACGTATATACTCTGGGGTGCCTTATGAACGCTACACCCCAGTTGTTTATCTATATGTGTGATGGATCTTTGTGTAAATTTAGGATGCTAAACTTTACATTCCTCTACTATCACAAATATTCCACGACGCAATAAAGGTAGCGTAAGGGTCTAGTGATGTGAGGTTGATCAGAGTTTAGATTTTTTTTAGTTTTATTTTGTTATGTATTTTCTTTTATTCTTTTGTAGTCTGGAATTAAAAGATAGATAAACGTATTGAAGGGTCTCCTAACCATTGCTTTTATTTTGTAGCTCGTTGGAGCATTAGAGAGCTGGAGGAACCTCCTAAGGAATTTGTAACCGCTTATTTATATCAACGCGTAGGCCCCTTTGTGGGTTTCAACTAAAAAAAATAAATAAATAAAATAAAATAGCAATATGATTTGATGAAACATAATATAGGGCTTTCGTTGAACTATTAAAATTAATGGATAATTAATAGCTTTAGTTTTAAGTAAGAAGATAGAAAAAAATACAATTCTTTCAATTTAGATATTGGAGCATGACAACTTAGTCTTATTTTGATTTAATTTCACCCCTTTGTACCATTAAATAAACCCAAATCCCATTAAATCATAAATTTCATCAATGATTAACTTTCCTTGATTAAAAAATTAGGAAAATTTAAATAGAAAACTAGATTTTATTTATGGAAATGAAATTTATCTATTTTACATCCAATCTTATAATTTGATCGACTTACAAATTATTTTATTCAATATTTACCTGATTTTAATTTTTTTTAAAATTCTTATGATTCTCATTACTATGCCCTCATTCCACAATACTTGAGAATCATTTGTGACTTTGCCATCTAAAGGTTTAAATTTAAACAATTTATGAAGCAATGTGTCAAAGGACTCACATGGCACCTATTGGGCTAAATAATTTAAATTCTTATGAAATCAAAAATATTGTTCAAACTCACCCCTCTTATAAATAAGTTTCAAAAATCAACTCATAAATAATATATAATATATAATTATGAGGCCAAATATTTTAAAAATTACAAGATTCAATTGTAAAAAGAAAAGAAAAAATCAAGCAACCTATAATTTGAACACTAACGAGCAACAGAAATCCTCTGCAATAGAATAGACTATACTTATGCATACCGCGCTAATTTTTTTTATTATATCAAGATGTTATGAAAAACTATAATTTTCAAATTGTAGAAAACCTAGAGCCTTTATGCATACATGTGGATGTCGGCTTTGTTTGGGATTGCTTTCTCACAGCTTCTTAAAACAATTTTCTAGTATAAAAGTTAAAATTTTGTATTCTAAAGCTACTTTAAGAAGCAATAAAAAAGTCATCTCAAATAAAGCCTAAGACTTAGGCTTCGTTTGGGACGGCTTTTTACTGTTTTCTAAAATAGAGTTTTAATACAAAAATAAAAAAATTTGTACTAAAACTCCGTTTTAAAAAGCAATAAAAAAGCCGTCCCAAACGAAGCCTTAGTTTAGGACAGCTTTTTTAGCCTTCATTTGAGACAGCTTTCTTACTGCTTTTTAAAGTAGCTTTTCAATATAAAAATTAAAAAAGCTATTTTAAGAAGCAATTAGAAAGCTGTTCCAAATGAAGCCTTATGCTTTCTTAAGCAATTTTTTAGTACAAAAATTTTTTGAAATAGAATTTTTGTGCTAAAAAATTGTTTATGAAAACAGTAAGAAAATGGCCCAAAATGAAGCCTAAGATTATTAATCCTCAACTGGCATAGATGTAGGTTTGTATTATAATTTTAATTTAAGCTGAATCCACATACTCATTTGAGTTTTAGGGTGTACATTACAAAGCATAATTGTAAAACAATCATTTATTGAAAGTGAGGTATTGCCTCTTTATAGTATTTAAATTTCATTGCAAATTGTTTGTTTATAGCTTTCTGTATAAATTATCAATCAAAGTTCGGAGATTTCAAAGATTGGTTATGATTTGAATTGAAATAAATTAAGGCTTCGTTTGGGACAGTTTTTTTTTTTTTTCTAAAATAATTTTTTAGTGCAAAAAATTTTTGTACTAAAAAGCTGATTTAGAAGCACCAAGAAAGCTATCCCAAACGGAACAGTTTTCTTGCTATTTTATTTTTCAGATCATAATCAAAGTTTCTATTTGACAACTATTTTTTTGCTACTTTTAAGAATTTTTTGAATTATGAAGTTGTTTTTTGCAACAATTTTTTTTTAAAAATATTTTCTCCACAATAGTTTTACAATTATCTTTATAAAAAATTGCAGCTATCTCACACGGACCCTAAGAATTAAGGTTCATTTCTTACATGTTTTAAAGGTTAATGTGATGCGAGAGACTAAGCAATGGGATCCTGATGACACTTAAGGTAACAAAAAGATGTAATATGATGCAATTCATATGAACAATAAAATTTTGCTCTTGAACACTGCTGTATTTAGAATATGACAAATCTCATGTACCAGCCTTAGTTTGGGCATATACTCTGATATCATCTCTCAATATGTTTATGTTGTGAAGAAAAGCATTCAAGGAAACTCATAAGAAAATAAAACAACAAAAATGAACAGCAAGATATTTCTCTCCTTTTTCTTTTCTTCTTTCTTATACCATTCTCATACTAGAACATACAAAGAGAAAACTACCAAAACTACAAAGGGATGCAACCCTTAATGAAAAAAAGAGAGAAAACTATTAGCCCGTCATGCAATGCCGTGGTACCACTTTGGAGTGCCACAACACTCAATTTTTTGTCTCCAATATGCCTGACAATGCTGCAATGCCAAGGTTTGGAGCGCCATAGTGCCTCCTAGCAGAGTTGTAGCGTAGAGATTTGGAGCATTGCAGTGCTCCATCTGTAATGCCCCAGAATCAAATTTAGAAGAATTATCTGTTATATCTTCTTAATCAATCAACCAAAGCATCTATAAATCATCAAAATAATAAATTAATATCAAGTGAAAGCAACTAACAATTGCATACCTCAAAATATTACACTATATTCATTCTCCCAAAATTAATATACAATAGCTAGGAGATCAGTACAATTATCATTCTATCACAAACTCCTGATTACAAAAGAATGAGGAAAAATATAAACAAAGTCAAAAGAAAAATCTGAGGAACTCTATCAATCTCAAAATTAATATACAATAACTAGGCCTGACCCCTTCTCTTAACTGAAATCATAAAACTTCACATATTTGGGAAAAAAAGCTCTGTAAGTAACCAAAACTCTACCACTGCTTTGAACACAAAGTTAGAAGAATAAATATGCATACTCAATTCAGTCAATAAAATCAATCACATCAATGATTAGTTATTGTTTATAAAACTCAAGATGAACAATAATAAAAATAGGTAAATCATTACAATGAATCTAGGAATCAATAACAAGCATGAGAATCAATAGATTAGTAAAACAGTTGTACTATAATCATTTAAGCTTTAGTAAAAAAGAATCACAAACACGCATTTATTAATATTATCAGTCTTATTCTCTTACATCCATTCTATCAATTATATATAATCAGTACTTTATCCATTCATATGCTATTTATGTACACATGTTACTATTCTATCTATCAATGCTATCAGCATATATATATATATATATATGCATCAAGTTATTATTCAGGAAGGCATGATATCCAGCTTTAATGTGGTGTTTTCATCCTATCATATGTTCATTTTGTATGTCATTATTTTTCCTCTTTTATTATTATTATTACGTGTGGCTTTCAAAAATAATTAAGATTCGTTACCTCTGCCTTTTGGAGTAATTTGATCATCTACTATAGGCTACAACTAGAAAGATAAAATAAATAATTATTCCAAATTTAATTCTAAGGTGTTACACCATATATGCATTGTGACGCCCCAAGCATCCATAGTGAAAGGATTCGTCTGACATTCTGATCGAACTCCATTCCAGTTGCCTTAAAAACAGTGGTCAAAAGCTATCTCAAATGAAGCCTATATTGAACACGATACAATAGCAATCGAAGCCAATTCAAACTCAAAATTTAAACTCATGAATGAAATTAAATCACTAATATTTTCATATCGATATGATTTAAAATTTTCATATAAGGCATCAACTTCAACATTTTTAAGTTGCATAAAAATATCTTGCTTACTTCCTACCAGATATAAAAATAAAAAAGAGAAAAAATAAAGCTGATGCCAATGCCAGAAAACAAAGCAAGTCACAAGCGGAATTAGCATGAAACGGATCACCTCCTTTTATCGGAAACATTATGAATCTTTCCTTCATTCTCTGCTCACAATCTCATGAAAATTTCAACACCCACTCTCTTCACAAAACCCAATTATTTTGACAAAACCCCCCAATGTTCCCTCATATGCCTTTTCATCATTCTCCTCAAGACTTCCACTTCCCATCAAAGAAATGACATCAAAAAGTGCTCCTGCCTTTCTAGATCTAACTCTCAACACTTTCTTTCCACACAAATATGTGTGGCAAAGCAGCCATGGAAAACCAATTTGGCTCATCTCAGCGAGAGATTATTACGTGCGGTATTCGGATCATTCAGAGACGAATCCGGACATGCCACATCACCCGAATGCATTGGGCCCCGGGTTATGTGGTGCGTAGCAAGAGATTATTATGTGCGTTGTCCAGACTGTCCGGAGACGAATCTGGATGAATCTGAACGCCACACGTAATAATTTTCCCATCTCAGCGAGAAGAATAGAACCCATCTTCCTCATGAATCCTCCCCACTATTTGATGAACTGCACCTGCAATCTCTTCCACCGTTGTAAGTTGACACTCTTCCTCGACCTGCAGAAGAAGATCTATGATCATACACAATGAATCAAATGTATAATTTCTTTATATTTTTATGTCTGAAGTTAAATTTTCTGAAAAAAAAAACTAATGGGAAAAGATGGGTATGGGCCATTACCAGCATCTTTTGATGTGAAATTCTTTTTTTTCTTATATTTATCTCAACAACCTGTTTCTCTTCTGAGTCCTTCACGTCGACAATCCAGCCTCAGAATAATACTTTTAAATACAATCGAGATTCATACATAAAAAAAACTTTACTCAATCATTTGAAACATGCATGTGGATCACAAAATTAATCTATTTTATGCTTCGTAAAGCAGCTTTCTAGCACAAAAATAAAATTTTTGTACTAAAAAATTGCTTTACGAAGCAGCGAGAAAGTCATACCAGACAAAACCTTAATGTTAGGAAGAGATTTAGTAAGTATTTTACTACGTCATAATTGATATTAATATTATTATTAGGCATACTAATCAAAAAAAATTTGCGTTATGCTTGAAATTAAGAGCTAGCTTATTTGGGATGGCTGCAGTTTTTCATAAAATTGATTATGAAGTTATTATGAAAAAAATAACTTAACGATGGCAAAAAATGATTGTTTCTCATAAATATTTCTCAAAAGAATTGATAAAGTAATAACAAAATGAAATTGTGATGGTTATCTGGAAATAAAAATAACAAACAAATTACATAAAAATAATAATAAAATAAAATTATGATTATTTATCTCAAATATACTCTAAAAATCTCTCCTTCGTAGAAGTGATAAATGAGCACAAGTAACTCCCTCAAACATATAAACTAATGAGTAAAAAACCTAATTTTTATGTTTATTTTGAACCGTATTATTTCCGGTCGTTAATGATAGGCTTACCTTGAGGCTAAATGTGTAGAGCACCATGGCCTCAAAGGTGGTGACATTAAGGTGCAGGGCGGAGAGCCGGAGGCTCTGTAGCCCAACCACCAGTTTAAGAAGCTGTTTTGGCCGTCGTCTGCATAGTACCTTTAGGTTGGCATGGCTTTCCACAATTGTTACCTCTATGTCGGCCAACGACGACGGGTTCGCCGGAACTGTGTCAACGCCGCCGGCTGCAGCGGCGGTGGTGTTGGTTAATGAATACTGGGGGAAGCTGAAGAACCGGGCAAGTGGTGTCAGGTCATGAACTCTGTTCTCTTCCTGTTGCTTGAGTTGTTTACGAACCTCAAGAAATTGAAGAAGCTGCTCAAGCTCTTTCACATAGTTTATGGCTCCGCCGACGATGGAGGCTTGGTCGCCCTGTACATTAATTAATTTAGGATCCCCAAGATGAAAATTTGATGTAATAATTTGTTAAAAAAGGTTCCTTTATGAAAAATAAAAAAAAAAACATTCTTTTTTAGAAAACTGCAGGGCTTTTGATTGATTTCAGCAAAAAGTCGATCCATCTTTAAGAAAAAAAAAAAAAAAAAAAGAGAGACTCTGAGAGGCGGGAGAGAGGGGTACCCTTTGGGCGTAAGAGAGAGGCATGAGAGAGCGGAGCAGAGCAAGGTACTCGTTCATTTGCTTCCGCCGGTTGCGTTCAACGGCAATGTGGGTCATTCTCTGGTTCTCCACCTCCTCTTTATTTTTTAAACTCTTGGCTCGACGCCTCTTCTTTCTTCCATTGGATGCCGAAGACGTCACCGCTGCTTTGTCTTCCTTGTGCGATGTTTCCGCCATTGCTGTGGATTCTCCAAGATCAAGTGGCTGTGTTGAGGAGTTTCCATCCCATTCTTGCAAAACCTGCCCTGTATATGAATAGCAAGAAGCCTCCCAATTTCCATAGAAAGGTAGCGATTTCTCCTCGTCTATCAGTCCAGCTATCTCCCAGTGGCTGTAAATGTCCTTCACATTGCAGCTTAAGAGGTCCTGAAAGAACACGGCTTCTAATGCCATGTATGTCACTTGAAATGACGAATTCGAATGGCAGATTGGGTTGGTGAAGATAGAATGAAAGATAGAAAGGCAGAGGAAGGAAGAGAGCGATAGTTTTGTTGCCCAATGGATTCAAGCAGCTTGTGAGCAGATAAATAAAGAAGAGGGTCGAGCAGAAAAGGTAAGAGGTGCGAGGGATGCCACGTGCGAGCAAGTGACAGAGATAGGCCGCGAGGAAGGAAGGGTGAAAAATGAACGAGGATATCATAGTTATCTATTCTGATAAGTGAAACATACAGCTAAATAATTAAAATTCGTATGATAAGAGATAATCGAGAGAGTCCTCCTAAATGGAGGAGAACTGAATAATTAGAAGCCGATAACATAAAGAGAATCTGAAAACACAAGAATAGCAAATCATAGCTTATGATGGCGATCAGGAATCTGAAATTTTTTATGATTCCAGAGTTCAGAATGTCTAAACTAGGAAGAATCATTTTATTTATATATATTTGAGTGAAGTATTACAGTTGTTATATAATATGTTATATAATATTTTACGGAAATATTTATTATTCTTATTAATAATTGATGCATTAAGTTTTAAATCATACTTTCCCTCGATTAAAAAGTGATTGGATGATTCCAGCTTTGAGCTTACAGAAGGTCATGACAAATTGGCGATCAGTGATGATTGTGCAATATCATCTGTTACTAATAAAATCTATGATAAATGAATTAAATTTTCAATTCAAAGATTGCAATGCCACAACTCTAATAGAATTGATGGATAAATGTTTTGATAGTTGGATTGATTATGATAATTCTAAAAAGATCTGTGATGCAAAGCATTTTAGTTTAAAATGATCCTTAGGATATTTGATATAGTTCGTTACAAGTTTGTTAGATGAAACTCGCAGCCCACGCATATCCCAATAATTAACTCATTGAGAGGGGATCACTACCTGAAATCCTTCAGGATACAGAAACCCAAACTCAAATATTATTCATCTTCCAAATCGTGTGACGAGGGGTGGAAGATTGACGAGGGGTCTTTCAAACACTTCTTTGTAGGTGAAAAAGATTTGATAACGGTGTGAATTCCTCTTCCTCTAAATTTAAAGGAAATGGTCAGCATGAAGAATTGGATAATTTTAAAGTTGTTTTTTATAAAAATAAGCATAAAAAAGAAAAAAAATTCGATGGTCATGTTCTCCATTCCATAATCACCAGATATAGAGCTGCTTCCTAATATATTTTTTATGATTAATTGTATTATTTGGGATATTAGGGGATTTGGAGATTGCTTAATATCTTTTTAGGTTGCATAATATCTCAGTGCTTGTGATTTTAGAGCCTATGATTAATATTTTTAAACTTCTTAAATGCCAAAGGCTCCTTGGTTTTGATAACTTTTTCTCTAATACTAATGGTAAAATTTGGATCTTTTGGAACAATAATATTAATTAATCTATCTATTATTATTGATTATGATCAAATGATTCACTACTTTATTTCTATTTTGAACTTTTTAATGATGGGTACTTTATTTATGCTAGTATTACTCCATCTAGTTGGTTTCCTTTATGGCAATATTTAGTGGATTTAGCTCAATCTTATAATGGTCCTTGGTTTGTGGGAGGGGGTTTCACTATTATTTCTAATGTGGATGAAATAATATGTGGTTCTTCTCCTAATTTTAATGATCTTGATTATTTTAATAATATGATCTTAGATTGTAGCTTATATGATATTGGTTTCTATGGTTCCAAGTTTACTTGGTCCAATTCCAAATTATGGGAAAGACTAGATAGGATTTTATTTAATAATGACTGGCTATCTAATTTTCCTAATACTAAAGTTGAGCATCTTAGCAGAACATCTTCGAATCATGCCCTTCTACTTCTGAATATCAATAAAAAATTGATCAGTTGTTTCTCCTTCTTTAGATTTCAAAACATGTGGTTACTTTCTTTCAATTTCTATGAGTTTGTTCAAGCAACTTTTGAGGCCCCCATTCCCATCTATGATGGCTCTAATGTATTAATTTTTTTTTTCTCTAAAGATTAAGAGGTTGAAATAAATTTTAAGATGATGGAATAAGAATGTTTTTGGTAACATCTTTGATAACATCATTAAAGATGAAATGAGGTGATCAAGCTGGAAGAAATTCTTATCAATAGCACTAGTGATGCTAATAAGTTTAATCTTGACCATGCGAAAAACAATCTTATTGATCTTCATATCAAAGAAGAAGAATTTTGGAGGCAAAGGGGTAATTCTAAGTATCTTTGTGAAGGAGATAGGAGCGCCAAATATTTTCATACTTTAGCTTCTTCTAAGAATGCTAAATCGTTTATTAAAAAAATCAAATTAAATTTTGGCACTTAGACTGAGGAACAGGATGTGATTTGTAACTCTTTTTTCTCTTATTTTAATGAATTACTTGATTCTACTAAAATGGTTAATGATATCTCTAACTCGCAATTTATTCCAACTATATATAATTTCCAATTTTGATAATTTTAACCTTACTTAGCTTCTATTCCTTCTGAATAAAAAATAAAGTAGTTATGGATTTAAAAAAGGATTCTATTACTGGCTCTGATGACTTTACTTTTTATTTCTATAAAAAAATGTTGGCATATTATTAAGGACTTATGCATAACTATTATTTCCCTTTTCAATGGTTGTATTATGCCTAAATTTTTTTTAGTACCTCCATTATCCTCATTCTTATGTGTCAAAACCCTGAGAGTTGGTCTAACTTTAGACCTATTAGTATTTGTACTTCTTTTATTAAAATTATTTTCAAAATTCTTGCCTCCAGATTAGCTTATGTCTTGCCTAAAATTATTTCCTCTAACCATACAAGTTTTGTTAAAGGCAAGTGCATTTCTGATAATTTCTTATTAGCTTAGTAGCTAATTCATGATATTAGTCACAAAGTGAATGGTCAAAATTTAATTTTAAAGCTTGACATTTCAATGGCTAGCTTATGATAATATCAATTTGGATTTTATTTTTAAAGTTATAAAGTTGTTTGGTTTTAATAATAAGAGTATATCTTTGATTAAGCTTATTGTTGAGAATGTTTGGTTTTTTGTTATTATTAATGGTAGATCTTATGATTTTCTTAAAGCTAGTCAGGGGATCATGCAAGGTAACCCTCTATATCATACTCTTTATATTATTGTTGTTGAATATCTCTCTGGAGGGTTGAATCACATGTTTATGTACTATAAAAATATTTATTATATTACTTATGGTGGTATGAAAATCTTTCATCTCTCTTTTGCTGATAATATCATTATTTTTTTTGCAATGGGGCTATTAATTATGTGAAGATTATTCATCATTTTCTAAATAAATTTGCTAGTGAAAGTGGTCTTCATTTTAATATGAAAAATACGCACTTTTGTTAGGGGAAAAAGATGAATCAGGGGTATTAATTCTACTTATAACTGGTTTCTCTGAGTTGTCTCTCACTATTTATTATCTTGACTCCCATATTCATAAAGGTCACAAGAAATCCTTTATATTTGACAAAGCACCTTACCAATATTGAGAATAAACTAGCGGCTTGGGAATTTAAATTTTAATATATGGGTGGTAGATTGATTTTGATTAAAAGTGTTCTTTGTTATATGCCTATCTAGTTGCTCCAAACATTAAATCTGACTTTGGAGGTTTGCTCCAGAATTGAGAATTTCATAAAAAAAAAAAAAAAAACCTTTTTTGTGGCTCTTCTCATTCAATAAGAAAATTCATTAGAGTGCTTGAAACTCTTATTGTGGCCCTTTTAGTGAGGGTGGTTTAGGGTGTTAGTCGATTATAGTTTGATTAAAGGTTTCTCTATTAAGCTTTGATGGAACTTGAGGATTAACACATCTTTGTGGGCTAATTTTATGAACTTAACGTATTGTAAGGATTCTCATCATTCTCAATGTTTTTTTAAACAATGTCAATCATCAGTTTGGTCTAGATTATGCAAAAATGTAGTGGCATGGTGAGCTTACTCTCATGTGGGGGTATTGGTGGATTTCATTTGTAATATTCCCACTAATCTTCATACCCTCGATCTACATATTTGTTGTTATTCTACTAATGATAAATTTAGCCTTAAGAATGTTTGGAATCAATTTAGGCCCAAGAAGGATGTTATTGTCATTTTTGGTAAAAATATGGAATTCTTCTATCCCCTCTAATATTTTTGTTTTCATTTGGAGGCTTCTTAAATGTTTCATTCCAGTGGATGAGAAGTTTTTGCTAAAGGCATACATATCACCTATAAATGCCAATGTTATTTTTATTTGGAATTTATTGAGCATGTTTTCTTAAATAGGCCAATTGCTTCAAAGGTATGGTGGATCCTTTATATTGTTTTAAAGGTTAATTTGAGAGTTAATTATAATTATTGCTATGATCTTCTTAAGGATATGTTTTTTAAAAGATCTAAATGTCATATCTTCACTATCATTCCTATGATGATTTTCTGGCTTCTTTGGCAAAGAGAAAAATAATTGTAAGTATAATGACATTAGTATGAATGTTGGTAAGATCATCTTTTTCTTTAAGAGTAAAATTCATCAGTTGATAAGTGGTAAGATTATGAAGCCTAAGCTTGTCAAGGTAATACTGTTCTTTCCTCCTTTTTTAATTTGTCCAATATAACCAATTTTAATGGTCATACCATCTCTTTTTGTTGGGCTAAATTGGAGGTGACTCAATACAAACTAAATATTGATGGCTCGGTTTCAAATATGGGTGATGATTGTGGTGATAATATTCATGATAATTTTGTCATGGGCTTTGCTTCAAACATTAATAACTGTAATATTATCGTGACGAAGATAGAGGCTCTTCTTCAATGCCTTAAGATATGTTCGGAATACCAATTTACTAATATTTTGATCGAATCTTATTCCAAATTATCAATGAATTATATTTCTTCCAAAATCTATAGCAATGTTGCTTTATTTTACCTTTTTCGTAATATTATGGCTATTTTGAATCAACTTGTACTCAAAATCACTCGTATCTAGAGGGAAGGAAATTGTGTGGCTGATTGACTAGCTAGGAAAGATTCTGCAATCTCTAATTCAATTACACCTCACACTTGTAATGATCTTCGTCAGGTTAAAG